TAAATTTAAAGTGATACTACGTCTTAAAATTAACATAAACTTTAAGAATTTTAAACTTGGCGAATAAGAGGCAGTAGATATACCTGTTGTCATAAATAACATAACAGGATCCTTATATAATCCGATAAATCCAAAATACTTATATTTACTATTGAAAAGCGCTTAATATCATTAAGCGTTTTTCAATAATTACTCAGTTTTATGAATTTTCCAATTTTCCAGATTTTACAGGGATTCTGTTGTAACTTTATGACACCAGGTAAGCTAACTGATGAATACATACTCATATTGACCATTTCGAGAACTTAAATTGTATGTTCATTCTAAGACGTAGTATCACTTTAATACCACTGTCATTATAGACAGTCTGAAATGGGACAGGGTAGTATAAACAGTATTTATTAACAAAGATATAATGGTACATAAAGAAATATTACTGGGAAACAATAACAAGACAGAAACAACTTAATAAATGTATAAAATCGCTTCCCTTTAAGCTTGGATGATTTTTATCAGAGAAATAGTACTTATCTAAATGAATATAATGAAGTAAATAGAAAGTGGGACAAAATGATTGCGACTACTGTATACACATGACGTCATCAACAAATGTTCAAAATATAAAGCCTCTGAAAATAACCACTATTTAAAATAACTGTCAAACATAGTTAATTATGGAAACACTTGGATTTGAAGGCTCAAATATCGTGAACATTATTACTGATTAGTTTAGCGGAACAATTCACGTTTCTGAGACAAAGGTATTGTATACTCCCTGCAATGCTGCAACCGTCACTTTATATAAGCATTTGTAAATGGCTAAATTAATAAGTTACAGTTGTACGCCAAAATAAAAATTCAGCATTTAGCTTACATATGAAGAAATATGAATATATTTAGATTGAAATTAAACATTAACAATTACAATATATCAATAAGAATTGAGAATATAGGGTTTTCAGTGATAAATCTTCCATACAATATCACTAACATTTTAAAGAACTGGCTCGCCTTGTTAAACTGAGATTCTGTTTATTATCAGAGATGACATAAAAAGAGAGCGACAAGGAAACCTCTGATATTTATCGGCTTCTCTGACACAGGGAGGGTATAAAATTAAATTAGCCAGGATGTATTGAGGTACAAGACTAGAACAAATAATGCAATGAAGTGGATATTTACGTTGTAGTATTAGCAGCTTGGGGCTACGAGCAATGTCATGCAGTGTACAATAAGGCTATTTGTCCAGCCGATTGATTTCCAACTGATGTAGGAGCTTCAACGTACACAGTCTGTAGCACATGTAGACAGAAACATCTGTCTCTATTCCAGCCTCTGAAAGCTATTTGGACAGATATAGAGACAGAAAAACTAGGCACTGTAAAATAGGGACTTTCCGCATCTCCGTAGGTGCAGAGGTTTTAAACCAATTTAGATGCTCGGATATATGTATATCCATCAGAGGCTGGAATAAAGGCAGATGTTTCGGGTTATAGCACACGTCCGTTTATTGTCCCGGTCGAACCGCTCGCATCACTAACTAGGGCACACCAGGTTGAACATGTGAATGTATTATCTAGGCAGGGATGGAACCCTGGACCTGGTTTTATTCACTGAGCCACTTCAGGAAAAATATTATAAAAAGTCTCTCTAATGAATAAAAAGTGAGTATGTAGTCAGATGAATGGCTTGACGTGATAATAAATTGATCTGTTTTGTCTTGTCACTTGTCTACAAGCGTGTCTATAATCTTAAATAACTTGTGATAGATGTGAGACCCCCGACCATTCAAGATTATATCGTTCTAGAAATTGATGAGGGTAATATTTCGAAATGATACTAGATTAGAATATATGTCTGACTGTCTTTATTCTTAAATAGATAGGCAATAACCAGATCGATCTTGTTATATATGACTATTTCATTCTGGTATATAAACAGTTTTATAAACAATACAATAGAATACACAAGGCAGTCTGAAATCTTCGATCATTATGGAGGACAACACAGCAGGAATATAAACTTGTTAAAAACTTTGGAAAATCAATTTATTCGGTTGAATAAGTAACTCTCTTATCGTGTTCTTGTTGGTGTACTCCCCCCACCCCTCCCCCCCCCCCCCCCCTTTGTCAATTCTGTGGCCCTTTAATTTAATCCCCCACAATGATTCAGAGAACCGTCACTAGATGACATCAATAGCTAGGACTAGCAGTCGCTCCAAGATTCTGTCTGTCACAAACCATTCTTTAGACTCGTATGTCAACGAGGATATTTTATTTACTTTCAAAGGAACTGGATGACGGAATTTGAACAGCAATACGGATAGATGAATAAGAAAGCTATCAACCAAAGACATCATATTAAACGTATACTTTTAGACAAGGGCAATAACTAGGTGTAAAGAGTCGTAATGTGACCGATATTCAGCCAATTGGGAGCGCCTTAATACCATAACATTTTGACCATTACCGCAATTATAGAGTGTCAGTCTACCAAGAGAGTCTGATATACGTGATAATTGCCCCATGGGTTTTCCTCTATATCTATCTGAACCTGCATTAGCTGATATTCTTAATGTCTTCGTCACACCATGGGATCAAGAAGGTTGCTGTAACATCTTCCAAAAATGCGAAAACGTAATATAGTCGCATAACTCGCAGTATGAGGTCAATTGTTTTTTTAGAATTTGTTTCTAGTTTTCCTCACGTTTGACTGCATACATTTTCAGTCGCCATTAGATCGCCGCAAATGGTCGCAGCCGGTGTGACGGGGCTTATACTGCCTCTTAGAATGAACCATTGGATTAACCTGATCTCATAACTATACATCAGAATCTTGTATAATCTGATAAATCCATAAAAGTAATAATTGAAAAAAAAGCTTAAATACATTTTTCAAGAATTTCTTGTTGTTATATCTAGCGTCTTTGAAATGTCCAGAGGAGTTTTGGTGGTTCGAAAATAAGCAGAGAAGCAAATTCGTCGGTCTCATCGTGGAACTTTACTTTGTAGTTCAAGATTAAAAAAAAAAAACAACCAAAAATTCGTTGCAATTTTGAGTGTCTGTTATCCATGGAAGGGAGGTAAATAGAAGTAAAGAATGTAGACTTTAGACCACAATATAATTACAGATGTTTTCTCTGAGAGCTCCCACGTAAGTAACTTATATTGATCTGTTACATATACTTGGTTTAAAATTACCTGCGTTAATGATTTAGAGAGAGGGGACGTCTAGCACCTGAGATCAACTTGATGGTCGAAGAATTCGGGGTGAATAGTAGGCAGGCTACCCACAATTTTGCACTATCCAGTTCCTAAGACGAGATGTGCGGATGTAGTCTTGTCAAGGTCACACCCTTCTGAGGAATTAGGTAGGGCCAGATTCATCGGGAAGAGTGAGCACTATCGGAAACTGTGATTTTGCAAAAAGTCGATGCGTTCAAGTAGACTTAAAGATGGGTTCCCTTATTTTCATTTATGAAAATGAAAATGCTAATACTTATATGAATAGAAAGTAGATGTGTTCTAATGACTTAAAAAAATATCAGTTTGTCTCACATGTCCATAATAAATTCATAATTAGCTAAATTAGAAGAGAACTACCACCAGAATTCCAATGAGTGGCTGATCAAGAAAGGTCAAAAAGTATTTTTTTGTTTATCCAGACTGTACATATATGGACATTTATGATTGGTCAAAACTCTTTAGTTATATGCAATAAGAACAAAATGATATGATTAAGAATACATGATAATTCATTAGAAACACCAATGAATCAAATAGTTTGCTTAATTTGACACTAAAAAATGAGGAAACCCATCTTTAAGTAGTAATTTCGATTGATCAAATTCCTTAAGCTGTTGATCAAATCCAAATGCTCTTTGATTCTGTCCACTGCAAGGTTGACTAGGACATCCCCTTTTCAGATAGTTAAATTGTTCAAGATCATATTCATAGTAGACCTCAATGGCGTCTCTTTATTAAAGGAAGACACTCGTGGTAAGCTTGTGAAGATGTTAATTTCGCTAGTAAATGAAATGAATGGAGTTTTACGTCCTACTTTTCAATTTGGCTGGTAAGTTAAGGTACATAATTTCAAACAACAAGAAATAAACATTTATTAACATAACAAAGACATATCATATTATGGGATGGGAAATTCTTACAACCAACGATATGATGCCCTAAAAATGTGGCCTTGGTCAAAATTCTTACACAGTTTCTACAGGAGGCACAAACGAATATTCCCTAGTAATAAATTCTACAAATATAAAGGGAAGTAACTTATTCGGTATTCATCTGTTCGGGAATCGTTTATATCCACGGCCTGTACACACTAGATCTCAGTTTCTGGTCCTATCCGAGAGACTTAGCTCTTTCTCAATGTCAGCCTATCCAACCTACATTACTGAAAACTCCGAAGATAGTATGTCAACGGGGTCGAGCATAAGCACACGAGTGCATTCACACGAGCAGTCTTGGTCGGAGATTGTTGTCTTGAATCTTTAGTAAAATCTCGCGTGTGTCCGCGCTTACACGACAAGATTATCTCGTTGCCGACAGGATTTATCATATCAATATTGTCTACAAAGTGGAAAACGATCGATTGAAGATTTTTATCTCCTCGTGTGCCTGCAGTTGGTCGGTAAAACTCTTTGCAAAATTTTAGTCGGCGACAAAAATCATCCACCATGACCGTTAGTGTGCTCGCACCTTTAGCTAATACGGCTTCGGGCAGAATTGACTATTCCTGATTACATGATGGTTTTTAACGCATATAATTATGCTACTTATTTCATTTATACTTTACGCTTTATTTATTTTTTTTACACAGGGGCATGCCAATTCTGTGTTCTATGATATCTGATTAACACGCGGAGCAAGATTTCCTTCAGGTTTAACCTCTGTAGCCCACGTTTGAAGTCATATGAATTCGGGGGCTGGCTGAGCAGCAAACCGGTTGGATATTTTGATAAATGACAGCATATACCGAACTCTATCTCTGAATCGACGATTTAAAGCCCAGTATATAATTGGATTAGCGGCACTGTGGGCGTGACCCAACCATAAAGCGAATGGTAATACAGCAGTAGCAGCATGCCTGGCCGTCAAGTCGACACACAAAGAGAATATATTGTACGGTAGCCAGAACATCATGAATACTACTACTAACACGACTAACACTTTAGCGGCTCGTTTACGAGAGAGTCTTCTGTTATAATAATCAGATCTATCTCTAAGCATTTCATTGGTACATAACGTCTGCCCGACATGCGCATAACACACACTGAGTGTAATCCCAGGAATGACGTACACTATCAACAATAAGAAAACACCATACGACTTCCTGTCCTCTTCTCGGGGCCAGTTTTCAATACAGAACTTCAAACTTGACAATAATGGCAGATCTATCTCGTCCACTTGTCGAATATATATCATTGGTCCCATGAATATTGACGATATGATCCAGATGGTACCAATGATGCCTAAAGCTTGGTTAGGGGAGGTAACCCAACTAACTGAAGCCGGATATTGAATGGAAATGTAACGATCTATTCCCATGGCTGTTAAAGTAAAGATACTGCTGGCAACTACCACTCCTGTAATAAGAATAAATAAAATAATATGAAATGAGTTTTCAGTATTCTGCTTTATAATTGCCTAATGAAGACCGATGACTCATTACCGTGTGTAATGAGCGAAGTTGTACATGGAATGCGATATAAGACTACTCTTTAACTATCTGGGAATCTTGAAGCATAAATAAAAAACCAAATAGATTTGACCTCCAGCACCTCTTGTGACCTTACTCTGGGTAATATTTAGTGTGGTCCACTGTTGTACTAGTGTCTGTTTATAGAAACACCAGATATCACCTAACTTTGTGTAATATCTAGAGGGTGGTCTACTGTTGTACTATTGTCTGTTTATAAAAACACCAAATATCACCTAACTCTGGGTTATATTACAGAGAGTGGTTTACTGTTGTACAAGTGTCTGTTTATAGAAACACCAGATATCAACTCTCTGGGGTATATTCTAGAGAGTGAACATTAGTTCCAGAGAGTGGGCCACTATTGTACTATCGTCTGTTTATAGAAACATCAGATATCACCTAACGTTGGGTTATATAATAGAGCATGATCCACTATTGTACTAATGTCTGTTCAATGGTACACCAGACATCACCTAACCCTGAGTTTTATTCCAGAGAATGGTTCACTACGGTACTTTTTCTGTTGATAGAAACGCCAGACATCACCTAACTCTGGGTTATATCATAGAGTGTGCTCCAGTGTTCTACTAGTGTCTGTTTATAGAAACAACATCACCTTACTCTGGGTTATATTCTTGAAGGTGATAAACTGTACATTTTGTAAACTTATAGAAACAACAGACATCACCTATTCTTAAGTGTGGTCGGCTTTTTTACTTTCATTTGTTGATATTCTAACACTGTTGTACTTTTGTCAGACGGAAATTGTGATCATTCAGTCTAACCTGAATTAATACCCTGGATAAACCACTTTAAAACCAATTTCTAATAGCCTACCTCTTTTGGTTTGGAAAAGACATTCTTTGCTCTCTCCAATTTTAAAGTAGCTGCTAATAATGTTTCGCCAAATTGATGTTTGGATTTCGAGTTTCGTTTTGCGGTTCGGATCGTTAGTACTTGGTTTATCTATTTATATCATCCTCATCAGATTGATGTTTCAGTCGATGTGGCTCATCGATTTTCTAAACTAAATCGATTTCTATTGTTATACACAGTGATTGAATTGAATGGTCTGAATTTTGCAAGTTTTCAAACTGACAAGTATAAATACTTTGTCTGTAAACGTAGTAACGACACAATAATAAGTCTATCTTCTATAATCAACATTTAGTGAAGTCAAGCAGAAACGGACTTCCGATTTCTTTGGGAGGTAACTGTAATAGTCGTCTGTGATTGGTCAATAATTCAGAGCGACATTCTTGAAATAGACACGCAAAGGAATATACATGTCTTTGCAATTATTAATTGAATTGTTTGATCGAGATATATATATGTCGAACAGGTTATTCGGTCACTGGAAAGTCGAGATTACCGGAATACTAGTTAAGAATCTTTTCTCATTACTTTGTTATTCTCGATCACTAAGCCGAGATTAGACTGAAATCTTCTTCTCAGACAAAATTCTAATTCTATCCTATTGTTTATTTTTAGCCCATGGAAGCCACGAGGATGTCTCTTTCGATATGATTTAGGTGGGATAGGCTCCTAATAACTGATAGATTTTGTGACGGTTATCATAAACTTGCTTACTCTTGCTTGGGATACCAAGTTTTCCGAAATTATTATTTGACCCATGTGGAGAATTAAATCATGACTTTCTGCAGCATATGGCGCTTCTGTTTATTGTGCCATCCTAACACAAATTCGACCTGCATCACTGACAAGGGAGAAGGTATTATCTCGACCAATGCCGGGTCCTCGGTTTAATGTCTCACCCTAACCAATAGACGCTTTGTTCATGTAGACCACTCCGACCTGCATCAATGGCACGGGTATACCGGGTTGGAATAACAAATCCCTGACCTTATGGGTCGGACTGTAAACTTATTTATTTCAAGCAAGTTTCGGATTCGCTGAGACACCGCAACTTTCGTTGTACTTTTGAACAAGAAAATGGCGGTATATCAAATTACACCACGTGGGTCGATAATGGGCTGAAATCGGAAGGAATGGCGAAGCCTAATGGCTTTTTTCTCACTGAAATGTCACTTGAAATCATTAAATTATTGCCTTCAGCTTGACCTATTTTCAGACAGCGGTAATAGGTTTCTTCTCTCCTCAAGCATGCTACCAGATTCATTATTGCCCCAGGGTAGCGTAATTAGCTTATTTTTTCCGACATGCTAACGAAGCAGATGACATTTTCAATAGGGTTGGATGAAAATAATAACAGATTTCCTAGAAATTTCAATATGTAATAATAAAATGAAAAACTGCAATGAAATGGAGTTTTATACCCGTTTCAGATCTGTAGCTACAGGGTACAAAGAAGGGGAGAGGGAGGTGCTTGGCAATGCCTCCTAGATAATATGGATTGCCCCCCCCCCCCCCCCC